GTTGTGAGACTCATAATGGATACTAGATCCTGCAAGTTTCATTTCCCTGTGACATCTCCTCTGGCAGTGAGGGCGTTGCGAAGTTGCGACATCTGAAGACCGTGCAGAGGTTCACTTGTGACGTCATAGGTCAGTGACCTGACCTGACCCAAAAATGCGGTTGGTGTCAAAAGATGCGGCTTGGATCAAAGGTCAGGTATGCCATGTTTCAGCTCTCTATCGCCAGCGTGTTCGGAGCTATCGCGAAAAAACCCTATGGGGGGGCGGCACCCGCCCCCCCCCCTCGGCCGGCGAGGGTTAACGATCTTTCTGGGATGTGTCCTCAGATAAGACCTCAGGACAACGGTTTAGCCACCAGAGGGAAAGAACCAAACACAAATGTGTTGTTTTGTTACGAACAATGTTTTTGTTGTTGTTGTAAGAATTACTTCCTCAAGATAGTCACGGCATTAATTTTGCCAGCATCGTGTTCCTCTCGTTGAGACACGTCGAGTGAACTATAGCTTGACTTTGAAAGGTCATTTTTAAAATTTGACCTCAGGTCAAGGTCCTGACCTGACCAGAAAAGCTCATGTTGCATATCAGCCGATCGTGTCGTCGAGCTGAACACCTCTGCAAGGTGTTTTCACCGCATTAGCATGTCTCTACCAAAAGTTATTGTCAAACAACCATGCCGGAACTTTCATGACCTGAGATGACCTCAGGGGCACAAAGAAGGGTCACAAGTGCAATTTTCCTATTCGCTGTGTCATGTTTACCCATATACCGATGTTAAAGTATTTGGAACGACGTTCCTCCAAAAGAGGCGCATTTCAATTTTCTTCCATTAACTTAAAATAGAGGTCGCAAAATTGACCTGACTTAAGGTCACATGTATCAAAATTCCGGCACGTTCATTATGCATAGTGCGACCGTTATCAATCGCCGAAAGTTTCAAAGCGATTGTTCAGCCGGTGCAGCTATAGCGAGCATTGGAACTTTATTTTCTGAGATAGGTCACTTGACGTGACCTGGTGACCAACCTTGAAAGTTGAACGATCCGAGTCTGAAATTTTCACAGCATGTGCAGCAATGATATATGAATTGGTGTGCCAAGTATGGCGCGGGTTAACCCGGCACCGCCTGGGCTATTTCCGTACCCACGACAGCTTGGGGGTGGGGGTCGGATCCGACCTCCCCCTGTTATCTCGAGAACCAATGGTCGTATCGAGCCCCGCAAGGCGGCGTTCGAAAGGTCTCTACGAGACCTTCCCAAAACACTCCTAAGATTTTAAGGTTGAGGTCAACTTTCGGGTCAAGATCAGGTCAAAGGTCAAATTCTGGGGTTTTGCATGATTAGGCTTACGGACAGCGGAATCGATAGCTGCTGCTCGAAACTCACCAAAAATGACCTCAAAGACCTAGTGAAGGTACCATGTGCGTATAGGGGTCATACTAAGTACGGGTCAAGGTCAGGTCGGGTTACGAAAGGTCACGGTTTTCACTTCCTGCTACATGGGCGTGCGACACATGTTTTATGGCTTATTTTTCACGCCGAATCCGATGGTAATGGTTATATGTGATCCCAAGTCACTCTGCTGGTGATAAGTGTGCATTGAAAGCATAAAAATCGTTTATACCATACATAACTAAACGAGGGCTAAAAAAGAAGTCAATTTTTCAACTTTCTATTTTTAACATAAAAATGCACTTTTCTAGACGAGCTTTGTCCCAGAAATCTAGTGGTGCCATTTGTTTTCACAGGCGATGTTCAGAAGTGCTTCTAATTCACGAAAATGCTTGTGACGTCACCATGCGCTATGCATGTTGGAGCTATTTTTTTACAATTCGGGGGTCAAAAATCAAGATAGAAAGTTGAAAATTGGGACATCTAATGTTCTAATAGAGCTCTATAACATGTATTCCTTTTTTGGAAATTCTCAAAATTTTGGATTTTATTAGTTGTTTTCGAAAAATATATAGTTTTTTTTAAACTTTTAGGGGTGAAAACGCATTTTATTGAAAATCCGAGATAGCCATTTTCAAGAACTCGTTGAGCTGCGTCTATTGATGTCCCTAATTTGCAATTTGCTTTAAACCTTGGTTTTTGGCGATTTTTTAAACATTTACCACTTTTTGACTGAAAACGCCATGTAGTTACATCACTAAAATCAATATATCTCCCAAAGTTTTGGAAAGAAAAACTTAGAAATTACACAGGAGACGTCAAATTGATGGGGGTGAAGGTATGCCAGGTTTCAAGTTGATAGCGTGAGTAGTTCATGAGTTATTCAAGAAAAACGGGGGGGGGTTCGGATCCGACCCCCCCCCCCAGGCGGTCGCGGGTTAACAGTTGTGAACAAGTTTTGTGCCAATACAACATGCTGCAAAGCTGTCAGTGGTGGTTGAAACCGACAATGGACATCCTCCTGGACGCCTTCCATGGTTGGCTTGACCTGACCTGTCCCGACCTACCCCACATGTTGAAATAGGGTATCATTGATCACCACAAATGCAAAATTCGAGGTCAGGAATCAGGATCCCAAAAACCTTTACGAGAAGTTCTTGTAGGTTCCGAATTCTGTGACATTTGTGTCACTGACCTGACGTGGAAGGTCGACCAATAGCTTAGGACGACACGCTCGTTTTTTCCTCGACGCTCTAGTTCGATCAGGAGCCGAGCTGTTTTATGCAATATTTACATTTTAGACGTAAACACTCTTATACCTATGCAACTGGTTGTAGGAAAAAAACGCCAGCACCTACGTAATCGCAAGGGCTTAGGTTCAAATACCTAAACTTTTTCCCGAATACCTGAACGTCGCTTAGTTAAGTTAGGTAATTATTTACGTGAAGCTTCGTCAATTTTGAAGCTGTGTGAGGGTATTATGCTAAAAATGCCCCCTTCCCTGGATCCATCAGTGCCATACAGTACCAAATTAAAGATCTTCTAAACGGTCAGACCGGGCTGAGAGAACGGCTGCAGCGCTGCTAGCGCCGCTACCGGTGACGGCTCACAGCCGACAAACGCTATTGCTGCTGTCTGACGGTAGATGGCAGGAGAGCCGCTGTCGAGAGCGACTACCGCAGTGCGGGGTCGGGATCGGACTCGTCGGTACCAACAGATCTTCTTTTATGTCATAGGTCACGCAGGCAAGAGATGTAGCAGAAAGCAGCGATATAAGAGGCGCCAGGCATGGGATAATGCTGGTGCAGTAGGTACCTGGTCTTCCAGCCTTCAGTCACTTCAATCGGTGGTCGATCACCCGTCCTTTTTAATCTCATAAGTCATGACTTCAGTATCAGGACTCATCTTCCTAAGTATTTTTCACACTTCACTGTTTCAGGCGGGCTGTCACCTTACCTAAACGTCCGGAGAAGAAAGCTTTGACAGAAGCCTGCTCCTCGGTGGTGTCCGTTCGAGCGGCTGGACGACCTGTCCCACCGGATCGGCCGGCTGGTCTTGGCTATAGATAACTGGTCCCGGCCAAGCAGCTGGTCTTAGCTAGGTAACTCGTCTCGGATAGGTAGCTCATCCCGAACAGGCAGCTGGCATATATCCTTCACATCAAACCAATGGGTAGCCCTATCGGCCCCAGCACATCGGCAACCAGTCCCAGCTCCCCACATCTGAGCTGGCCTGTAACTCTGTTAGGTAAAGTAACTAGTAAGAAACATTTGTTGAAAAATGCAGAGCTGAATATGATAACAACGGCCACTTTTCCAGACAATAGCCCTCGCACGACCAGGCCATTTCTCATAACACGAACGACCAGGGGGGGGGGGGGTTGTTACGACCCCCCCTGGCGTTTCGAAACGGAAGGTCGTAGAGCTTAGCAGAAAAAACCAACGGATTGCTCTCAACGAGATCTCGCGATTGGTGGTATATTTTTTGGTCCTAGGTCAACATTTGACCTACTTTTGACCGGTCAAAGGTCAAATTTTCGGAAAAATAGACTTTTTCAACTTTCCGCGGCGATTGCGGCAAAACGGTGGGAGATATCGACTTGAAACCTTCACTATCGTGTTCCTTGATCAATTCTCTATCGTTTGGTTTGTATTTCGTTTCCCTAGCTCTAAAAATGGCGCGTTGGGAGCGCCGGAAGTCGGCAAGGTCACAGTCGGCGGCAGAAATTCGAAAAATCAAAATTTAAATTTTTGAAATCTGATTGTATTTTTGGATTTGGAAGGTCCATTTGCTCCTTATAGAAGCTAATATTGCTGCATATTCCCATTGAGGTGACAAGAATTAGCAAAATAGTGGTTCGGGCGCTTTTCAAAAATAGTACCGGACGCTGTTCCTCTTATGACGTCATAACTCCGTGACCTGACCTGACCCGGTCAATTTTCTTGCACCACACGATAGCCAATGCTTGCCCCAACATGCATGGGAAGTTTCATCATGATCCATCAAACAATGTGGGTATCACCGGCAGAAAACCTAGGGGTTCGGCGCACACGTTTGGTAACTGTCGGCCGGAGGCTGTACCTTTTATGACGTCATAACTCCGTGACCTGACATGACCCGATCAATTTTTTTTTCGGCAAAAGATGCGCAAAGGTTGCCCCAGAGGGTATTGAAAATTTCAGCCCGCTACGACAAGCCGTTTAGCGTGCACTTCGAAAAAACCTCAGGGGGGGTTGATACAACCCCCCCCCCCTAGGCGTTCTAGGGATAGAAGTGAATAATTCTATCCAAGCGTCTTTTTTTTTCACCCGTTTACTTCAAGTAACCGCAGAGCACAGAAATAGCCAAGCCCTATAGTGTAATTTTATAAACTATAGGTATACACTCGTAATCTATGGTTTGTTTCATCGTTGAGGATAATCAAAAGATTACTTATGATGATACGAAATCTAATAATATTGAGTTTCATTATAGCAATAATTAATACTGCAAAGTACTCACGAAATTACCGTTTCTACCTCACATGTGACATTCACAACAGTTCACAAGCCTCTCGGGAATCAAAGCACGATTATTTCAAGTATTTTTCAACACACATTTGAAGCAACTTATACCTTATCATTGACGTAAATTTCTTGTCAGCAAATTTTAAGTCTGCTCTCTTTAAGAATATTAAATTTTTTTGCACACATGTTTATTCAATCGGCCTTTTATAACTCGGCATTTTCACGAATTCCCAAAATGATAACGTAATGCAGACAGTAAGGCTGGTTGTTCTCATCACAATCGAATATCAGAAATGAAAATTTACTCTTCAACAATGAAAATACTGACTACTACTGTGGAAATAAGTGTGGATTTGGATATGCGGGTGATCTGCGCTACGTTCGCTATTGCTCTACTCCTTCCACTTCTGTTCAGCTACTTGCGAAGATATCTCTACGGCATCGCATTTCGGGAATAGTAAGTACCTACAGTCATACAGTGAGTTGCACGCATTTTCGCAACACGTGAGTTGTGGTTATAGAAGTACGAAGCAATGTCTCTCTCGTGCTGGGCACAGCATATAGCAGCAGATGTTTTACGCCCACTCGTTCACTACGTTTCCATGACACGTCTATAAATCAATTTAGAGAAATTTCACGTGCATTTTTCGGATACTATTCCACTTATGCAAAACTTGAACGTATATATGGCTTTAGCTAGGACCTAATCCTATAGTTACATTTTTAAATGCCGCCTAAATGCTATGATTGAGCAAATCCATTTTACAAAATCGGCTTACCTTGTGTCATGGAAACGTAGCCATTTATGCTCACCGCTGGCCAGTGCAGCCATGTCGACATTTCAACCTTGTGATAGAATATCGTCATGTCGTCAAAATAAGAGCAGTCTTTGGCTTTCATTCGATATTTTAGTCTTTACCAGTAGCTGCTCTATTTTTATGACTAGGTATATAGGTTCCATGCTCATTTCAACCACAAACAGTTTATTTAAGTCTTAACAATATTTTTTTTACTTTTGCTTTGATTAGATAGAGTTGATAATGTATCGCCATTATTTTGGAATATAATAAAACCGTTACACGTTGCAAAACGGCTTGGAGCATCACATTTGCAGCTTGTCACAGCAGAAACCTATTTATTACCTGGTGACGGTACAAATCGAGAGCATCCGCAATTACCATGACTTTCTGCAATGCACACTTTGCTTCTCACCGTGCATGTACCCACCGGAATATAATGGGCCATTTCGGCAAGTAGCGCCTACGTCGGCGGAGAGTGATGCGATTCATCTGTGCAGCAGCGGCTGCGCTACTGCGGTCGGGAGAGAAAATCACCGGCCTGTCCGTGCCCAGAGGACGTGTCGAGTTGTAAATTCCAGCGTGGGTCTGAGAGCTGCCGCCGTCCCACTCTGTTCCCAGATGATCGCAGTTCGTCACTGCATGCACGGTTCAGTTGGAGGATGATTACAGCCACCGCCGGATCTTAGCGGACAGCAGTGAACAACCGTGGACACCGCTAGACAATAGCGGATACTAGGTATCCGGACAATGGCGGGTACCGGACTACAGCAACTACCAGCGGCCGGATAACAGTGGACACCGGACAACAGCAGACAGTGGACAGATACGGACACCGCTGGGCATTGGCGGACACCGGACTGTAGCGGGAGGCGGACTACAGAAAATATCAGCGGCCGGATAACAGTGGACACCGGACAACAGCAGACAGTGGACAGCAATGGACACTGCCGAACAGCGGTGAATATATTGGACAGCAGCGGACAAAGGACAGCACCAGACAGAAGCGAACACCGAAAAGTGACGGACACTGGATTGAAGTGGACACCGGCAAGATGTGGGCACCCGTCCGACGAAAAAGGGGCACCAACCAGCCGCTATTGACCGAGTACCGACCAAGGATCCATCGGTCAGTTCGGTCCATACAGCTGCTACCGCTGACGCCGTGTTTCTGAGCTCCAGACAGGGAACGCACAGTCTTTTATCTCGAATTTCTTGCAACAACTAAAAAGCTCGGATATATTACTTTGAGGTTATTGATCCATCCGTCATATCTACACTTTCTCCACGGATTAGCACGTTTCTGATGACCGTCACCCGTCAGGTCAGGCCACTATAATCATCCTCTGCCGGGACTGTCACGAATCTAATAGTGAAATCACATGGCATACCTTCATCCGCTTACCGTTGACGATATTTCAGCTTCAACGCCATTAGAACACTGAAACAATAGAAATGAGAGGACGATGAATCTATTGTTTCACAGATAACAGTAGTACTACTGTTATCTGTGATTGTTTTTATCTCAATGTTTGACGACACGAAAGGAGCAAGCATTTATGAAACGGTCATGCATCTAGCGCGAGGTCTTGAACGACGAACCGTTTCAGGGCTTGTGTAGTGTGCACCCCGCGGACCGTTGGCTATGGGACGGCTCAGAGTGCAGGGCAGACGATTACCGGGGTATGTAGACGGGTCGTGACCCTATGGCGCCGCGCCGCGCGCTCCGTCGCCGCCGGCGCCACCGCTCCGCCGGCGGCGACGCGGCCCACCGCCGGCGGCACATCGTCGGCGTCGGCTTTCAGGCCGGGCGCGGCGCCAATTAGTGGTCGAGGCGCGGCGGCGGTGATTTACCGGCGCTGGAGGAGGTGTCGCGCCGCGGCGGCACCGTTTGTCGTCGTCGTGCCGCTCTGCTGCCATATGCTGCCAGATGGGCGTGTCTCCTGCGGGGGGGGTCCCACGCAGACTGCATACCGACTGATGAGCGGATGTCAGATAGTTGACCGTTAACCCGCGACCGCCTGGGGGGGGGGGGGGGGTCGGATCCGACCCACCCTCTGTTTTTCTTGAATAACTCATGAACCGCTTACGCTATCAACATGACACTTGGCATACTTTCTCCCCCATCGATTTGACGTCTCCTGTGTAATATTTAGGAAAATTTTCCAATTATTTTTAGATATATCGATTTTAGTGATGCAACTTTTCAGTCAATAAGTGGTAAATGTTTAAAAAATCGCAAAAATTCAAGGCTTAAAGCAAATTGCAAATTAAGGACATGAATGGACGCAGCTCAACGAGATTTTTTTAATGGTTATCTCGGATTCTCCACGAAATGCGTTTTTCACCCCTAAAAATTTAAATAACTATATTTTTTGGAAAACAGCTAATACAATCCAAAATTTTGATAATTTCCAAAAAACCGGAATAAATGTTATAGAGCTCTATTAGAACATTAGATGTCCCAAATTTCAACTTTCTGTCTTGATTTTTGACCCCCAAATTGTAAACAATAGCTCCAACATGCATAGGGCATGGTGACGTCATAAGCATTTTCGTGAATTAGAGGCACTTCTGAACATCGCATGTGAAAACAAATGGCACCACTAGATTCCTGGGACAAAGCTTGTCAAGAAAAGTACATTTTTATGTCAAAAATAAATAGTTGAAAAATTGACTTTTTCTTAGCTCTCGCTTAGTTATGTATGGTATAAACGACTTTTTATGCTTTCAATGCACACTTAGCACCAGCACAGTGACTTGGGGTCACATTTAACTATTACCATCGGATTCGGCGTGAAAAATAAGCCATACCTAAAACATGTGTCGCACGCCCATGTAGCAGAAAGTGAAAACCGTGACCTTTCGTGACCTGACCTGACCTTGATTGACCCGTACTTAGTATGACCCCTATACGCATATGGTACCTGCACTAGGTCTTTGAGGTCATTTTTGGTGAGTTTCGAGCAGCAGCTATCGATTCTGCTGTCCGTAAGCCCAATCATGCAAAACCCCAGAATTTGACCTTTGACCTGACCTTGACCCGAAAGTTGACCTCAATCTTAAAATCTTAAGAGTGCTTTGGGAAGGTCTCGTAGAGACCTTTCGAACGCCGCCTCGCGGGGCTCGATACGACCATTGGTTCTCGAGATAACAGGGGGGGGGGGTCGGATCCGCCCCCCCCCCCCCGGCTGTCGTGGGTACGGAAATAGCCCAGGCGGTGCCGGGTTAATGATCCGCTGCTCGGCGTAAGGCAAATTAACAACTCAAACGATGTGTAAGATCCATATCAATGTTTGGCTTCGAGGGTCCCAGAGGGAATCACATCATGGTAAAAGGGGCTAAGCTCAACTGAATTCGCGCCTCCGTTTATACCCGGGATTGAATGTGCTATTTACAGAGCAAATGCAAAGGATCGGTTTTATCGTACGATTACCAAATTTGAGCCGTCTTATAAAACAGTTCTTTGCTTATCTACTTAGAATGATCAAAATGATAAATAAGCGTACCGGGAGCCCAGGTCAAGGCTATGTCAAAGACGATAAAAGCCCGAAGCTGGTCGAGGAAGGTCATGCGGTTTATCATTTGATTTGGCAACTTATCCTGTGTTTACCCATTGCTGCCTTTTCAGACTCACAGTCACTTAGGTACTCAATTTGATCGGGAGAGTCGGAGACTATCTTCCATTTCGGTTTCGGGCTAGAAGTAGAGACTGAGCGGAAAAATTATCAAAAGCAATTATTTCGGCTTTACCGTGTTGCCTTGTTCACTGGTTCACTGGTTTACCGGTTATTCACTGGTTCAAAGCAGTAAACAAGGCAAGTGAATAAAGCCAAAATATTTGGTTTTAATATTTTTCGCCTTAGTGCATCCCGAAACTACAACAAAAGATAGGTAACAGCCGTTTTCACGACGACCATCTGGTACACATTTCGTGCAGATTAGGAGCAGATTAGGTGCAGATTTAGTGAAATTAGGTTAAGTGTGTTTCTTAACCCTATTCCTGGCGGGGGGGGGGCTTCAGGAGCCCCCCCTGAGGTTTTTTGGTTATTTCTCCCAAACGCGTTGAGCTAGGAAGCTCAAATTTTCTGACTTTTCCTAAAAGGCTTCTACGCAACATGTCTGAAAATTTTGAGTTGATCTGACCTCAGGTCAGGTCACCAGAGGCGGTTTGGTGACCCTACCTCAGAAAAGTTTGCAATCACGCCAGAGCTAGAGTTTTTGACCGATCAATTTCTTCTCTTCAGGCTTTAGTTAGGGTACCAGTATGTGCAATTTGTATATCTCGGAATTTTGATATCGGTGACCTAAGGTCAGGTCAGTTTCGCGACCTCCCCATTATAAGTCAATGGGGGAAAAATCAACTCCCTGTTTTTACCACTAAAACGGGTCGGAATGGCCCCATATACCATACATGACTTCATATACGATCAACCTTCACTACCTTGAGGTCTGTTTTGCTGTTGGGCAGCTGTGAGGTCATGTGACGTCATCAAAGGTCACCAAAGGTTTTTGGCCAATAACTCCGTACAGGAACAAGATACAGACGCGTGGATGGTCTCATTGTGTTCAGCTCGTCAAGACGCATCGAATGATATACATGATGACCTCGAGGTCACGTGACCTGAGGTCAACCTTTGACCTTGACCTTGCGAGGTCAACATATATATCATTCGATGCGAATTGACGAGAGGATCACGATGATGCCCTTAGTTTGTTCCTATCTTGACTAATTCGAAAGTTATTCGAGAAAAACTCTCTCCATATCTAGCGCCGCCATTTTGACTTTTTCGACCCCTGTGACGTCATCTTTGACCTGACCTGAAAATGACCTTAGTAAAAATTGTAGATCTTGACCGTGCGTATCCGATGCCGTTTACCGTTTGTCGCTATCTTGCTTCGTTCTCGAGATCTCAGGGGGGGGGCCGAATCGGCCCCCCCCCCGCCAGTTTCTTGTCCCGGCGGAGCCCGCCAGGAATAGGGTTAAAAGTTATCAGTTTGGGCTGAACAGATGCGTACCTATATTTATATACCTCATTTTTCAAATTATCAGACTTTAGTTTCGATTAGAGCACCGAAACAAATTCATGATACGAAGATATTTATTGTAAAAGAGATTTGGTGCAGATTTGGTCAAATTAGGTGCATAATAGCCGTTTTCACGACGGCCATCTGGTACACATTTGGTAGGGGAAAGTGGGGTAAGACGGTCAGGGTAGGTAAGACGGGCACCCCTTCTGCAGACCAAACCAATAGCGCTACGAGCAAGAAAAGTTAGGACCAGAATTGCCTTTCCCACTACACACCACCATTCAAGTCTGGTGAATTTGTGTTCAGTCGATAATCTTTTATTTTGATTTCTTTAAAACACTCATTTCATTGAAAACATCCATAATGTATTGTGCAAGCTTTTGTGTACAGCACTATAGAGTTAAAAACTCGCAATCACTTGTGGTACACTCATATGCCAACAGTGTTCATTTACGGCGGATTTGCTTTGTCTGCATCAAATTGTCCACAGCGAAAAATCGTGCTGAACTTCTGACATTGAGTTTGGGGTAAGACGGGCAACTATGAACCCAATGGGTCTGTAATGGTGAAAATATTTTTGTTGCTGTAGGAAAAAAGAAGCATTTCTAATAAGAATATGTTCGATTCCGATACTCACAGACATGTTAGCAATATTCCTTCGGCACAGTTTATTCTCGAATAATGAATGTGAAAAACGGTTCTACATGGCTTCTGAACTAGGGCCTATATAGGAGCATACGCCTTCTGCACGAATCTCGTATACTGCCATTTCCGAAGCACTTGAGACCAACGAGCGACTGTATAAATGCGGCTAATCTCGGGCATTTGTTGCGAGCTGCGCTGATCGGTGAAAGAAGCTGGCCGTCTTGCCCTACCCATGTGACCGTCTTACCCCATGGGGTGGGGTAAGACGGGTTTTTGCAAGGTTTTGCAAAAATAGCTGCAGTTTATTTGTTGAATCAGGTCTAAGTCTCATCTTCTGGCAAATGAAAGTAAAATGTCTGAAAAAGGTTTTCACCCAGTTTCCCGTTTCTATGATGTTTCTAACCGGCCGAAAAATGGCTCCAAAGTTAAGGTGCCCGTCTTACCCCACTTTCCCCTACCTACCTACACATCTGGTACAGATCAGG